GATCACCGCCCGAGAGGTCGCTCATCACGATCACCGCCCGAGAGGTCGCTCATCACGATCACCGCCCGAGAGGTCGCTCATCACGATCACCGCCTGAGAGGTCGCTCATCACAGACGTCCTTACCCATGGCCACTGAACCGTCACTCCTCACCCCATAATCCCTGTCCTACTGAGCGGAAGTGCTGCCCATCGGGTAACCTTTCCATCCAGTATGCTGGCTGACTCTCCAGAGCTTCCTCAGAGCCCGGTAACCACTAAGCCATCTGCTGCTCCTCCTCAGGCAGGCCTCCCACAGCTATGTTATGAGGTGTACGATAGGCTATTAATTACATGGAGGGCATGAGTGTATTCCTAAATACCAATGTACTGTATCTCTACATCAATCCTCATTGTTTTTTTTTGGAGGGGGTTCCTCTCCACCATTGTTCCATCTGTTCGAACAAACAAAACAAACAATATTTTCCTGTCAATAATGCATTGTCATTAACCCTTGTCAAATGCCCTGTGGTGACTAAAATCTCTTTATTGCTCTGAATTTCGCATTGCATTGTAATGTCATTGCGTTGCATTGGCTTGTCCTTTACTACACTGTTTTGTCCCTGATTTGCACAGTTCTATAGTTCCTGCTCCCCCCCCCCATAACTGTGGCACAAGAATTTCTCCGTGTTCCTTGGAAAACGTGACAATAAAGCTTGACCTTAAAACTGCAGGAGGTGCATTTCAGGCTAAGCACACCATACCTCAATGGCACGGACACTGACCCTACATTTTTTATTTAAATGAGTGATTTTTGTGCAAAACAAGGTATTCACTTCAGTGTTGGTGTGTGCATTCATCTAAAACCAGAACGTTCTACATGGTACAGCTGTTGGAATCGCTAAAGGCGGCAAAGAGAGCTATGCATTTTATATTACATCAATGTCATCCATGGAATAACAAAGCCCTGGTCCAAAAAGGGCAGATTCTTACTATTTGTAGGGGACCCCAGCCTTCGGTGTCACCCGCCTATTACCTGTTTGTTGGCCAGTACCACCAGGGGAAGACAAGGGTCCCCAGCCACAAGCTCCAGGAGGCTCCTTCTGGCCAGGGGGAAGCGGGGAGTGTCAGTAGAATCCACCACGAACACCAGCACCTGGGCCTTGCACAGGTACTTCCTCCAGTATCTCCTGAGGGTCTCAGTCCCGCCAACTGCACAACAGTGAAGAGAAAATGGAGCAGGACCAAGATAGATTATTACGATTCATTCAAACACAAACAAACATATTGATGAATCAGCTAGGAAAGAAAATAAATGACTGTAGATTTAACTGCATGTGTATAAACAGGTTACAAGGTAACATTAAATAATAAGGCTTAATTGCTTTATTGTTATAAATTAGTCACAAAAAATACACAATTGTATGTCACAGCTAGTAATTACAATGCTGAAAAGCATTCTGTTACCATAGCAACATCCCAGGCCACATCCCAAACACAAGAAAGCCATGCCTGTTTAATTCAGCATTCTCTCTCAGTCTGGCACCCACTTTGTGATTCAGCGGCGCGCGCTTACTTTCCAGGAACTCGATCTGCAGGTCCTCCTTGTTGATGGAGATGGCGTTAATGCCCTCGGTGGGAGACACGTCCTGCTCCAGGCTGCCAGTGGCTAAGCAGTGCATCACACTGGTCTTGCCGGCCCCGTCCAGGCCCAGCACCAGCACCTGCCTGCTACCAGCAGTCTTCACCTTTGACAGAAAAAGACAATTAACAGAGATCTACAAGTGGAACATGCAGTAATGCGAAAGTAAATGTAATGCAAAAAAGTTAATGTACTGCAAAAAAGTAAATGTACTGCAAAAAAGTAAATGTACTGCAAAAATTACCCTCAAGTAACTGGCTACAGTATGCTTCTTCCTCTATCATTCAGGCAAAGAATAAAAAATATTAATTATAGGAACAAATATTAAAAACTTTAATTTCTGTGTGTGTGATGTCGCCCTTCTCATAAAACAATTTGCTTTTAAAACCGGGTTGGGGCCATTCAGCTTGTTTGACACATAAACACTTTACTTGAGGGGGCAGAAATACTTTGTAATAACTCAGTATAGTTGAGATAAAAGGTGCATCACGATTCATTAACTCATTAACTAAGACATAGTTTGTGGTTAATTAATGCATAAGTAATAGTATAATACTATATTATCTGTGCCCCGTCAAATAAAGTGTGACCAACAAACGCCAAAAACAGTATCTATTTTCCAATGACAATGTTTCTTCAGAAGCAACCTGTTGACCCCACCATGTAAATTAAATAATGAAGACGGGAGCAAAACACCCAAGTATTCATGGTCCCCCGTGTAACAGTAAGATATTATTTGGGGAATGAGCTTGTCCTCCCTGTATGCCGGCGGTAGGCGTGCCCCGGCCCTGCCCTGCATCGCCCACCATATAAACCCATTTAAAAGGCGGACTTTTACCTCCTCCGACGCGGCCACAGGCTGAGCCGCTTCGCCCGTCACTGCTGCCGATACCTCCCGTTCGCGCTCCTGCTTTCCCCGGGAAGTCACGTAACTCCAGGCCACGAAAGTAGCTCCTCCAGCGATGGCGACTGCGGCCCCGAGGAGCCCCGCTTCCCTCAGCCCCGGCATCCCTGCCTTACAAAAAATATCTAAATAAACGCAAACAAAAACTCAAAGGGACTTAGGATCGGCTCCGGGGCATGATTCGGATTTAAACTGCGGGTCGATGCAGGACCTAAACCCCAAAATGTGCTCGGACGCGGGAGTCTAGCGGGAAAAAAAATAAACTTCGAGGATCAGATTTCTAAAGAGTAAAAAAAAAAAAAAAAATAGTGCAATAAGTGCAGCGTGCGTTGCTACTTCAGCGTACTGTACCTTAAAATAAACCAACGCAGGAAAGTCGCTGCAAATCGGTATTAATTGGCTAATCCCCACAGGTGCCGGACCGACCCATTCTGCCGGGCTGCCTGCGGAGCCTCCCCGCCCCCATCACGACCTACCCAGCGTCGCACAAAGATTACAAAAGCCCTTGGCACCCTGTGACAGGCATATGCTCCCTGAAGGAGCCTCATTTCCCTGCGAAGTACTTCATCTTACACCCATTAAAAAAAATTAGATTATTGCATTTGATGCAGCTGGAAATAACATGCATTAAAAAGCCTTCCTACAAATCCATGTCCACGCCTAGATATATATACAAGTGCACGAAGTGCGGCAGTAGATTCACGTTTCTTTTAAGAAATACAGCATCGGGACTCTCTTTTCCCAGACACCACGCGAAGTTAGCAAAGTTTAAAAACACGTACAGTGGATAATGTATGCAGATGGAATAGCGCCATCTGTTGACAGTCAGGGATTTAAATCCTCTTAATCGGGGTTACCTTCGTGCAAGATGGACACCGGAACGAACATCGTGACATGCAAGAATTACAGAACACAGAACCACATTTCAGGAAGTAATCGGACAAACCCAGTCTCTTGACGCGTCAATCAACTCATTTTATTGTTTGCTGAAAAAGTTTCACACAGCACTACTCCTCTACCTTTTCATTTAATGTTCTCCTGACAAACTGCATACAATCCACAGTTCCCCTCCTAACAGAATCAGGTCTTCACATTCATAAAATTATAACATAGGACCTTGATGCCGAAATCAAAAATAAATATCTAACTTTGTAGACATTTTCTCATATTAAAAAAAATGCTGAACAAAATCGTTATTCATGAGAATTAACAAGCATGCGCTTGCGAGATGAAGGTTTGCAGTTTGGTACATACAGTATGACGATCCCGTGGCAATGTGTTTTTATTTGACAAAAATACTCAGATCTTGCAATTATAGCTTAGGATCTCCATCTAACAATATAAATTTCCTTCTGAAACAGCCACAAACACCCATAAGTATGTGACAATTACTCCGAGATGTTCGCTGTGGGGAAGGTCCTAAAAATCATGAAGACCTCGACTGACAAGACTTCCCTTGTCGTGTTGTAAGGGGGGGGTGGTGTCTCTTGGATGTTACCACCCTCCTTTGCCCCCCTTTTTCTTCTTCTGCGGGGCCTTTTTCCGAGTGGCCCCTGACGCTGCTGGCTTCTGTTGACGTGGTGGTACCGCAGTGCTGGTGGTGGCCGCTGCGGCCATGGTGCCCGGCCGGGGGGATGTGGGCGGGCTGCTGGCCATCTTACTGGCATCCCTGTTGTCAAACACAAACCACCCCCCGAATATAAACAGGTTAAATTTAGAAATGCGTATCTACCTGTACCTCTGTACCGATGGGTCACCAGGTCTTGAAGCATTTCCACATATAAGTGGGTATCACACCGCAGGAACTTTTTTTTTTTTTAGGAACCAGAACCCTTTTCCAGAACCAGGAACTTTTGTCGCATTCACACCACAGGACCTCAGCTCAATTGTAGTTTCTTGAAGGCAGTCCCGGAACCCTTTATTAGTGCTTACTGCAGACACAAACTACTGGGGAGGCGCTTAGAGCAACAGTTTGCCGATTGGTTGACCACAAGCACCACCGCTAACTTTGAAGTGACGTGGAAGTGCGGAGAGGAGAGATAATTAACGCGGTAAAAATTGAGCAGATGGATTTCGCACTTCAGTTACATTTAATGAATACATTTTTTGTTCGCGTCTCCATATTTCTGCATCAAAAAATACAACCGATAACCAGTATATTTTTGTCTAATATCGAAGGTGCCGGCAGTGAGGCTTGTCGGCATTTATTAGTGGAACAACTTTACACCGTTTTTGATTCTGTGAAACCTAAAGATCAATCTGCCGGCCAGATTTAATAACGAAAAATAAAACGGCGTCATTCGTATGAATAAAATATAAATAAAAGGCTGCATCCCGTTTCAATCGCTTGTTCATCCTCCATTGTTTTGGGGTGACGGTGTAGTTTCGAATTGTGTGTGAAGTTACCTACGAACTTTTTGCGTCTCCAGTGCTTGTTTAGCATAAAGGTCCCACTTCTGTTCTGTGGTGTGAATGTGACACACAAATTGGCCAGGAGCTTCAGATGTCCCTGGTTGAGAAAGCCCAAGAACCATGAACCAGGTTCCAGAACTTCAGTATACACCAAATGTTGGCCTTTCAAGTAAGGGAGAGGCCCTGACTGTCGGAGCAAGATACTTACCTGCAGCAAAAAACCCAGCTGTATGAATTAATTAATTCGTATTTTCATAGAAGCTACTGGCTACCAGTGATGTCACCACTGGGCCCTTAAGCCCAATTGCAGAGACTGGTTGATCCTGCTCGCTGAAGACTTGTATGTCGCTTTATACGAAAGCGTCTAATATATAAATAAAATACAATGGATATTTTAGCTGATGTATTTGCTGGCAAAGATCTATATGGAAATGATTATAAATAATTCAGAACGCATAGATTCCCATTCACAGGTCCAGGTTATGAACCAGCCCCACATCCGTTCCGCCGGAGTGCACTCACAGCTCAGCCGTGGCCCCAGACGTCGTGCCCTGCGTGCCCTTGCCCACTTGCTCCTTCTTCTTTCCCTTCTTCCTGCCGCGGTAATAGGAGCGCTCCCGCATGGGAAGCCACCTTTCTGGGTCTGGGGTCACTTTGGGGTCATAATTCTTTGGGAGCTTGCCTGGAGGTCAAAGATGGAAACATTTACATTTGCAGTGGAAGGTGCCCAGCTCTTTGGGAGTGCTGAAAACCGCAGTATAGCCCAAGAGCAACTATACTGAAAACCGCAGTATAGCCCAAGAGCAACTATACTGAAAACCGCAGTATAGCCCAAGAGC